AAAAGAAAATGTAAAATGAAATGGAAACTGGGATTATATAGGGGATTATAGGGATTAGGGTTTCCGAAAAATTAGGGGTACCATTTTGGGGGTCCCAATAATAAGGATTATAGTATTTTTGGGTCTATATTGGGGTCCCCCTATTTTGGGAAATTACCATATCCCTTTGATCCTACAGCCTGAACCCCAGACCCGAAAGCCCCCCAACAACCTTAGACTCAAAAGGGCAATCTCCTTTCAAACCCCATGTGCCCCCTAGTCTCCCCTAAACAAGAAGGTGTTTAACTACAAACCTCTTCGCTTTCATCCTAACCTTGGAAAAGACCCCTCACACCCTGTAATCTTTTTTAGAGGGGCAGGGTTCGGACCGATATCCACTTTGTACTTTCTTGGAGAATTAAAGAGACCCCTCAAGAAGCGTACCCCTAGTTTTGGGAAACCCCCATATAACCCTAAATCCTGTCGGTAGTTTCCATTTTATTTTCCATTATCCCTCTATGTAATCCCAATATATACCTTATATAACCCGATAGAATCCCTGTAGTTTCCATTTTAGTTTCCATCATCCCTATATAATCCCAATATATGCCCCATATAACCCCATGCAATCCCTGTAGTTTCCATTTTCCATTATCCCTATATTACCCATCAGGTCTCTGTTGGAGCGGCTACGGGACCTTCGGAGTAGCTGGGTCTACATTGTGCATGGACATAGGGGACTGGGTTTTGCTTACGCCAACCATCCTATGAGTATCATGTGGTTATAGTTATAGTAGGATCCTCATTCTCGGGACTTCTTTCACTGCAATTCTTTGATCAGATGGGAGGTGGGGTATGTTTTGGGGCTTGGGATTGGGGTATTGCATGTCACACCCTAAACCCTAAACCCTGAACCCTAAACCGTGGGGTGGGTGAGATGATTTAGTCCATGGTCTCTCTGGCTCAGTGTTTGGGGGGTGCGGACTCCTGGATTACAGGCTTCAGGTGTAGGGCTCTAAACCCTACACCTCATATATCCCTATATAACCCCTACATAACATCTATATCCCCCTTTAAGCCTTTAAACCTTTAACCGTACCAGGGCTTAGGGTTGAAGTTCGATTTGTAGGTGCGGACCGTTGAGCGGTTGGGGCTTTGTGTTCACTGCGCAGGCCGCAGGACTTAGGGGTGTGGATTTAGGATTTAGGGTTTACAGGGTTTAGGATCTGAGGTTTAGGATTTAAGGTTTAGGGTTTCAGGCCTAGAGTTTAGGGGCTAAGGCTTCGGGTGTAAGAGCCAACTCTTTTACCTGGTTTAGTGTGGGGGGCTCCCGGACTCCCCGAAGAATTTGAGCGCACCCTCTTCATGGCACGCCCCCCAACCAACCTTGGACGCTAGATGCCTTTCGTAAGTATCCCCGCCTAATACCTAAGCCTCTGCCCGTGCCCCTTAAAGCAACCATAGAGAACCATTACATGATGACGGAGTGCTTGTTCCCCGGAGCCCGGGTAGAAATTACAGTTTCAGCATGTTCTTATGTCTTATGGACGTATATTGCCATGGTGTGTATGTTTTCAAGAATCAACAGTAATCCCGAATCCCACCCAAAAGACTGGGGGCTCCAGCTTCTCACATCCAAACCTTCAGACTTAAGCTCTGGATGCTGGGTCCCTAGCCCACAAACAACCTTGAAAGAACAAAGGCGAAGCCGAGCAGAATCTGCATCTGCCGATGCCCGCAAAGACACACCCGCCTTTCGCGGAGGCGAAAGTTTTTGCGGCTTAGGGTGCAGGGTTTAGGCTTCGGGGTTTAGGGACGATGGTTGGGTTTCTCTAGGGCTTCAGGGGTTTAGGGGACTCTGAGGGTGTATAGGGCTGTAATTCTAGGAGAGTGGGAAGATAGAAGCCATGATTTAGGGTTTAGGGTTTACGCATTCATTACCCCAAGAATCCAGACTCAAATGGCAAAGAGAAGGGAAAATCAGAATGGAAACTTTACAGGAGCGCTGCAAGCACTTGTAGTACATCGCCCCGGGACCAAGTCTAGAAATAATACCTACATTGGCGCTGACGTCTATAGAGAGCAATCATCATGGAGCCTTATGGGCTGTAGTTTATAGAGTAGAAAACAATTTGGGTTTAAGGCTGCAGGGTTTAGCGTTTAGGGTTACCCCCCCCCCCCCCCAACAGTACAATCCCTTACTTTAGGGCCGCCCAAGTCCGCAAACCCCAAACCGCAAATGTTTGGAGCCCCCCCTACATTACGACAGAGTGTTGCTCTTGCTGTGCACGCAAGTTTGCGCCATGCCGTCTATACCCGAGATGCTAAAATCTTCTTACAGCGGATTTCAGGAGACTCTTCCTAGTTTTTGTCTACAACTTTATTTGGGCTCCGCGCACATCGTCGCATAAACCAAGTGATTGCACTTTAAATGAAGACGATTTCATAAAGAGCGTTTTGAAGTATGCGGCGCAGGGTTTAGATTGAAATCCCGAATCTCTCCACCTTGATCAGAAAACCGAGCTCTCCTAATGAGGCAGATTTCCATCATGATTACATGTTGGAGCAATAATTCTCAATAGGGGGAGGTGATCGGTATTGGCAGCATGTCGGCTAGTCCACGCATGTTGGCTTCACAATGCCTTTTAGTAGGGTTGCTGAGCCCGCCCTAAGCCTGGGGACTGTATTGAGAGACGCTAAAGGCGGTCTTCCCCCAAAATGCACCATTTCCTTGTCAGTCAGCGTTACACAACTGCAAACTAGAACAAGCTGTCAGGGATGTTGTCAGCTTTGCGGTTGTTGTCTGGAACCCCGCAAGACTGATCGACTGGGAATGGTGTGGTCGTCCTGGCTTAAGAAAGGCAGCTGCTGTTGAACTTATGTGAGCTATAGTCTAAACTCCTTAAAGGGGGGTCATATAGGGGATTATATAGGGAACTACTATAAGGGGTATTAAGGGGGATACTAGGAGTTTAGACTATAGCTCATGTAGACATTGAATGCCGAAGCTCTTTGGGTGAACGAGGCGGATGCTGCAGATCAAGCAGAAGATTGCCAGGTGTTGAGGAGCACTCCATCTGTGCAAAGCAGCCCTTTGGCCGACAAATGTGTGTTATCTTAGAGGCTCGGTGTGACTAGGGTTTAGTGTTTAGGGTTTTAGGGTGTTGGCGCCGGCCTCGGACCCATTTCCATGCTTCAAAAAGGGTTTAGGGCTTAGGGTTCGAAAGAAGCATCCAAAGCTATGCAGGCTGGGCGGAGTTACGAGCAACGCAAACATACCATGCTGGCTTGTGGTCACGCACAGAATGTATATGGTCTATGGATGGCTCCTGTTCAGCAATCAGCAGTGATGAAGTATCTACATGGCGACAGCACTTTCCAAAAGTCTGTGTAGCATGGGTCTTCCAGTTTGGACTTGAGAGCTGTTTGGCGATTTTGTGCGTTGGCTGAAACAACTTTAGAAACTGTAATGGAGGCAGATTCCTCAGCACCCCTAGACCCCTTTTCCCTAAAGGCTGTTAAACCCTAAATCCTCGGATCCTAACCCCTAAACCCTTCAGCTCCCAAATCTTTCAGCCCCCAATGGGATAAGCCTCTAGACCCTTAAATCCCTGCACCTTCCACGATTCTTAGTCTAAGGCGGAAGCTGTGAGCAAGCTGCTGAGGAATGTGTTCCGGAAGCTTGGCTACCGTTTAGGAGCTGAAGTTAAGTTGCCCTAGCATGCTGACTGTTGAAACCAAAACATCCTGCTAAGGGCCGAGCAGGATTTGTTATATCAACCCTAGCATTGAGGTTTAGGGTTAAGTTACCACAAGAAGAGATAACCATGCGGCCTAGTGAGGGTTACTTAGGCTGAGTTCCTTGAAGCCCCATGAATGTCTGTATATTCCGAGCTTCCATTTTGTGGTCCGTTGAATTTGTGGTACCCTCCCCCCGAGGCTCTCTAGATGCCCCCTTATAGCCCTTTAGCCCCATAATATGAGTATTATGAGCTATAGTCTAGTATCCCCTTTACTAACCTTTATAATACTCCCCCATTGAGGAACTCCAACCCTGAGTTCCTTAACTGCACCCCAAGGAACGCATCTCTGCGCGGCAGCGCTTGCGGCTGCTGCAGGAATTTCATTGGCTGTTAGTAGGGCTTTCATAGGTGCAGATAGGATTATATGTGGATTGTCTAGAGCTTAGGCTTTAATATTTTGGGATTATATAGTCGTTATAACCCCAATAATGGGAACTCCGATGCAACAAAGACATGGAAGATGAAATGGAAACACGGGGGTTGTTATGTTTAGGGCACTGGGTGGAGTGTGGACTTGCTTCTTGCGAGTAGTGAATCGACAAAGAATAGTAAAACAGGAAGTTGCCATAGGGTCTAGGGCTTGGAGAGTGCAGAAAAAGAAGCTAAGATTTCCAAGTATGGGCCCCTACTATGGGCCCTTAGGCCTTTTAGGTTGGGCAGATCGTCTAGCCAAAGCTGCGTTGGCTCGATCCCGTCAATATCATGACTGCCCGATTTGTGGCCAGTCTGACGACTGCAAAGGCAGCTTCTGCTTTGCTTTCACGAATAGAATAACGTAGTTCGTTCACTCAGTCTTTATCCGCCACTCCTGTCAGGGAATGTGGTACCTGAATTGCTTAGTCGTACCTTCGCCCACCGGGATCAGGTCCCTGACAGATGCATTGCGCATCCCAGTAACTGTCCCCCGTCCTTATCCTCCCGAGTTGAGGGATTGGAGTGGCTATCGACAGACAAGGAAGCGCTTAGGCCATTTAGGGTTTTCTAGGGACCCTGGAAAAGACATGTAGGCTACACAGTAGGTATATCTTGTTTAAGTGCAGTATACTTTATCCCTCAGCCCTATTGAATGTATTTATGCTGCAGTATATTGAGCGATGATGCAGGAGCGGGCGGCCAAACTCCACACCATCAAGGAGCATCTCCAGCGGTTAAGCAAGGAGCGTCGAGAGGCAGCCAACCCAACCGCGGGGAAGGCGCCAGTGCAGAATTCAGGTCTAGGCTTTAGGTTCTGTGGATGAGGGTTGTGTCCGTGCTCACTCCACTCTTAATGCTCAATATTAGGGGTCTGGGGAGGTTTCACCGTTAGGGGGGAAGGGATGGGCAGGTACATCTCTGTTGTATTTCTATTAAATTCTTGGGATTCCTGTTTGTCCCCATTAATTCGAGTCCTGTTGCCTTAGACTCTAAGCTTTCCTCTGCAAACCCGAAACGCAGGCGGTCCCAGACACTTGCAGAGACCTGGCATCTAGCTCGCCTCCAACTGAGGGGCGCCCGCGTGTTACGAGGTGGCAAAAGAACCGGGTGCAGGGTTTGGGGTTGCGGGTTGAACCCTAAACCCTTCAGGGTTTGGGGCTTTGGGTTGGGAAGCTGTGTGACTAGGGGGGTCTCTTTGTGGGGGTCCCCATAATAAGGATCATGGTAATTTGGGATCTAGATTGGTCAAACCCATATTCGGAAATTCCCAAAAACGGGCCCCGTAGCTATAAGTTGGGCTTTCAGAGGGCGCTGCCGCGCATGGGCATGGGAATCCAAATTCGCAGAGTAGGTGCTAGTTGATATCCATAAAACTCAAGTCCTAAACCCTATATAACCCCAGGTCCGTATTCCGCTATATGGGCGGCAGTCCACACTCGTAGTACCCCCCCCTAATAACCCCTAATAGACTCCCCTATGCCCCCTTTGAGGACTTTAGACTATGGCTCACATCGCCTTTGAAGGCCCCTAAACCCCTAAACCCCTAAAACCCTAAACCCCTAAACCCCTAAACACCCTGGACCCTAAACCCCTAAACCCTAAACCCCTCCCTAAACCCTTTATATTCGGCTCCAGTGAAATCCGACCGCCCAGAGCCTGCAAGCCTGCAAGCTTCGGGTGCCGTCGCGGCAAGGCCGGGGACTTAGGGTTTAGGAATTGTTGGTTTAGGGCCTTTGGTCTAGGATTTAGGGTTTAGGGCTGAGGGTCTAGGATTTAGGGTTTAGAGTTTAGGATTGAGGGTTTAGTACTTAGGGTTTAGGGCTTAGGGTTTTGAATTTAAGGTTTAAGACCTAGGGTTTTCCGATTTAAGGTTGAAGGTGAAACCTCCTCGTATCCCCTTAGATAACCCTTATAAGACTCCCTTCTATACTCCCCTATGTACAAATTCCTTGAAGGAGTGTAGACTAGGGCTCATATGGATATGGAATTTGGCAGGTTCATGGCTACCCGTCTAGGTTCACCCTTAATCAAGGCTATTTGAGCTATTGTCAAAACTCCCTAAAGGGGGTTATATAGGGGAGCATTGTAGGCGTTATTTGGGGGATACTAGGAGTTTAGACTATAGCTCGTTTAAGGATGATGTTAGGTTGGGTAAGGCGAAGCATGGGGCGGGTAGAAGCATCTATGAGTTGCACTGTGAACACGCACGTGCGCATCTATGTAAGTCTACAGCGCTAGAAAGTGTATATGCAAATGCGGGCGCATATGAATGTATGTGGCATGCTTGTCGACATTTACGCGGCGTGTGTGAATGAGCGTGTGCACCCAGATGTTTATGCATTTCCACACAGACCTCTGTGTGTGTTCACAGCATGTGTATATACAGGCGTATCGGCGTATCATGTATCTGTATGGACAGAAGCCGCAGCATGACCAAGCAAACAACATACTAAAGATCAAGGTCAACCTTTAGGCGGTCGGTGTTTGGTAGCAGGTAGGTGCTGAAGGAAGAGCCTTGTGCGGTGGAATCAAACCAAGGCATTTCAATGTCAGACCTTAAGCAGCCCAATCTAGTTCTAGAAAGGTAGCTTCCACTTCCAGTGAGTGCCCCAGTGAAAACGGCATCTGGCGCACAGGGATGCCGAGAAAAGCCTCTTGCGCCCCCCCCCCCCCACACACACACAAAATTGTAGCTCTTTGTAGATAGTGGTACCCCAATATGGACCCGCAAAATGCTATGATCCTTACGTATTATTACGGGGATTCCCAAAAAGGTAACCCAAATTGTGGGAAACTCCCAAAAGTGCAACACGCGCGAAGCAGCAGCTAAATCCTTTGACGGGACCCAGGATTCTGTTCAGTCCCTACACGTAAACCCTAGACCTAGGGTACTGCTCTATAAGAGCTGGCTAATATGTGTTCTAAGAGCCCTTAATATGACTGTGCCCAACCTAACCCTAACAACCCTGAACCCTAAACCTCTATGTTCATACCCTACACCCGAAGCCTTGAGCTCTAAGCAACGCCCTAGAGCGTGCAAACCCTAAGCAATGCTCATGACTCAGGCGTGGCCGGCATGCAGAAGAGGCACCGGGGGTCGAACGTGTGCGGCAGGAGGAGGTCTGGATTGTCTATCCCCACGACACCCGAGAATTCCTCAAAGCAACCCCTAAATGAGCCATAGTCTAAACTCCTAGTATCCCCCTTAATATCCCCTATAGTAGTCCCCTAGAATCCCCTAGACAATCCCCTATATAACTCCCCTTTAAGTGGAAGCGTTTGTGCTGCATGCCAGGTTGCATTCTTAAACCTTGCCTAGCGCTGCCGTGGTGCCGCTAGATGGTGTGAAACACGGCTTCCTTAATCCCCTCCCCCTACTATTAGGGTTTGGGGTTTAAGGTTTAGGGTTTAGGGATGGTGTAAAACATGGCTTCCTTAATCCCCTCCCCCTAATATTTAACCTCCCCACACACCCCTATAGTATAAGATATTCTCAATATATGATATTCTACCACAAAGGGCAGTATTTAATATTAGGGGGGGGGGTTTATACAAATGTTGGGGGGAGGGGACAAACCACCAACAGTCGGCAAGAAAAAGTCAAGCAGGGCCGCACAGTAAGACATGGGACGATGGAACCGGTTTATTGAGGGCTGGATCGCAGGGTCGAAGAGCCAAACCCTAAACCCTAAACCCTAAACCGTAAACCCTAAACCCTAATAGTCTTTTCGGGGGCTTGGGCTTCCGGCTTCTAGGCTACAGCATCCAGCGGAGGCTCATGTGTAGCTAGAGCTTGGGCTCTTAGTGAGTGAATACTAGGGTTATATAGGGATTATAATAGGGATTATATAGGGATTATAATAGGGATTATAATAGGCTATATATTGGAATTTTATTAGGATAATGGAAAAGAAGCTGGAAACTACTATAGTATACCCTACACCTACTTGCGTAGGTACTTGGTCTTGTGTAGAGGAGTAGGGGAACCTTATCTTCTGGCGCGAGGCGGGTTTCCCTTGCCTGCCAGTGTGGCGCAGGAGCCCTCGCCATGTGTAGGGCAGTGTGGTTCATGGTTTCGGGTTTACGGGCTTAAGCTTTAAGATGTCGGCCCTAAACCCTAAACCCTAAACCCTATGGAACTCCAAATAGAACAGGCTTTACAGATGCATGGGTTCCTTTGTATAAGGCCTCTCTGGAAAGAGTGCCCGCGAAAGGTGTCGGGTTAGGGTTTACCTTGAGCTTTATCTTTGTCTCCCTCTCTCTCTCTCTCTTCCTCTTTCTCTCATTCTTTCGCTCCTTCCTTTTGTTCAAGCTGTAAAGCTTATGGATCCCCCCCCGGCAGCCTGCTGTTTCGGGTGCTGTTTGCAATGATGCAGTAGGCTTTCTGAGCTACCTTTGTGAAGCCTGAACATGAAACCTCAAAAAGGGAGGGCATCTCTTGTGTGTCATGATTAGGGTGTAGGGTTTAGGAGTAAAACCTTTGAGCGAGGTTGTGTTCACGTAACATTCCGTCTCACCCACTCCGAGGAGAGAAGACCCCATGATCGATTGAGTGAGATCTTTAAGCAGAATCCATAACTTCAAGAACATATGAGCTAAAGTCTAAACCGACTCCTAGTATCCTCCTTAATGGGCCCTATAATGGCCTCCTATATAATCCCTATATAACCAGGAGTTTAGACAACAGTTCATTTCAAACCCCCCCACTCCTGAAACCTATGCTCCACAAAACTTCTCGCAATCTCTCGCAGAAGTTCAGGAGTGTACCAAGAGATCCTTAAACCCTAAACCCTAGACTCTCTCTCTCTCTCTGTCTGTATATATATATATATATACTTTTACAGAGTCCCCTACATATCCCCCCTTAAGGAGCTTAGACCATAGAGAAAATCCTTAAGAACGGAAGCCTAAACCTACTGCGACGTTCAAAACGTACATAGAGGGGCCCACCTACGAGTCAGCCATGAGTTGGGTGCTGCTGGGGATTTCAGCGTTTAGGGTTGAATGGTTTAGGGTTTAGGGGATGAGGGCTTAAGGTCTAGTCCCATAAGTTGCAGTTATAAACATAAGCCGGCATAGGCTCCCAAGTAACAGTGGTACACGGGGTTACTGTATGCTTGGGATCCTAAAAGAGTTGCTATTCCCTTGCAGTCGCTACTAGTAGCTCAACTTATACGTGTACCAGCGCTAACATAGCTAGGGGGCCTTACCCTGTCAACCAGCCCCATATATCACCAGATATCCCTGTCTACCCCCGCTAGAACTCTCGTAAACCGGCAAAACGCCGCGCCCCAACTGAAGCCTAAAACCCTAGGCCCCATACCCTAAAACCTATAGTCCCCCTTAAGTAGATAGAATATGGGGTATATGGGGATCTTATTATACTGTGCCCAAAGCCATATTCTATCTACTGAAGGGGGACAATAAGCCAACCCGAAATTGGAAGGACTGGGGCTCGCTGTCACAATCGCCCTATTGAGCCGATGGGGATCCGCGCAGGTCTTTGCCGTGGCCCTACATGCACAAACTACCTACCTATACTTTTGGGGGGAGCTAAGGAGCTAGGGATAGTCTATATCAATATAATAAGNNAATCTCCAAAACCATAGGGGAGCTACAGTACTACCCCCTCACGTATATATAGGGCTCAGGGTTTAAGTTTAAGGTACAGTCCCCCTCATGTAGATAAATGGTTTAAGGCTTGAGGTATAGTCCCTTAGTCCCTCTTAAGTACCTTGGACCTTGAGGATTTAGGGTAGCCCCCTTAAGTAGATAACAT